TTTTTTTAAATAGCTTTATTGACGTATAACTCCTATATCATACATTTCCGTAGTTCAGTCTTCTTGTTAAGTTGTCTAATCATTACTAGAATCAGTTCTAGAACATTTTCTTTCTTCTTGTACTCTTTTTCTTTTTAAAATCGTTTGATTGGGGGCTTGTACAAGGGCTCTTTTTTTTCTTGATGGGAGCAAATCCCTCCTTTCCCTGCTCCTCTCTCTCTCTCTCTCTCTCTCTCTCTCTCTCTCTCTCTCGCTCTCTCTCTCTTTCGTAAGATGTAACCCATGGGGCGTGGTGGGCCACACCCCAGGGACACTCCCCTGACATCTGTCCAGGCCTGTGACCTGAGTGAAGAAAGACGCACATCCACCCTAATGGGTTGCCTTAGGTCAGGGCTGACCATCCACCATAATTCGTTGCCTTAGGCCAGGGCTGACCACGCCAGATCACCTTCTGAAAGATGATCCCATCATGACCCAAGTGCCAAATGATATCATTCCCTGAACTGCCAAACCACCCACTCAGGGTCGGGCCAAGTTGAACACACCTTTGGGGGTGGGATGGGGATCATCCAATCCATGACAGCGCACAACACCCAAGCAACACATGCCCCCCTCACCCCAGCCCACCCCTGGGCCTCTGAAGAGCGCTCCTGGCAGGACAGCTGGCAAGCCCTGGGCTCGTGTGACCCCCCACCCTCACAGGTCTCCTGTCCCCTTGCTCCTAGGACCCGCTGTTGGTGGAGGCTGAGAAGAAGGTCGCCTACAGCTGCTGCAGCCAGGGCACCGTCCACTTGCAGATCCACATGGAGAAGAACACCTTCCCGCCGGGGGGCCGCATCAGCTTCACAACGGAGATCAACAACCAGACCAACAAGTGCATCAAGACAGTCCTGTCCGCCCTCTACGCTCACGTGCAGTACGAGGGCTTCACGCCCAGCACCGAGCGGCGCACGCGCATGGACAGCTGCGAGCTGCTGCGTCAGGAGGCCCACACCCACATCACGCCCTTCAACACCACCAAGGTGGTCAGCACCTTCCACCTGCCCCCCGTGCTGCCCGTGAGCAGCTGCCGCCGCCGCCAGCCAGACAGCGAACTCATGAGCACGCGCTACGAGCTGGTCATCACTGTCCACCTGCCCTGGTCCCTGACCACCGTCAAGGCCAAGGTCCCCGTCATCATCTCCAGCTCCCAGCTGCCAGAGGCAGCAGCAGCAGGGATCGCAGGATTAAGTGCCCAAAGGTCTCAGAATTAAAAGCTTTATTGCTCCACCCACTGGCAGCTTCCCTTTGCCCCGCTAGGTGGCCTTCAGGGCAGCAGGGGGCACGTGGCCTGTCCCGTGGGTCCCTGACTCGTGGCAACCTCGTTCACGTTCACAGAGAGCTGCCCGGTCCTGCACCATCCCCACCATCGGTTTGCAGATCAGACTGTTGGGGTGCATTGGGTTTTCCTGGCTGTTTTGTTTCTTTGTTAAGGACATTTTCTTTGCGCTTTTACACCTTATGATCGGTGCGCCATCCCCCGCCCCCATTCTCCCCTGACATAACGCTAAGAAATGATTTTAATTAATCCAGTTACTGTTGCTATAGATTTACCTAGCCTGGATTTCATATCAAGAAAACCACAACCACAAAATAACAATATATAACTGATCAAAGGTTCACGAGGTTGAGGGGGGTGGGGAGGAGCTGATACCAAGGGCGCAAGTAGAAAATGTTTTGGAAATGATGATGGCAACCCATGTACAAATATGCTTGATACAATGGATGTATGAAATGTTGTAAGAGCTGTCAGAGCCCCCAATAAAATGATAAAAGAAAAACATACCCAAAACAAACAAACACCTCATCCAACAACAACAAAATACGAGAAAAACCTCAATCGAAAAGTTAGCAGAATAAAAACTAGATCAAATGTGAAATGGGTCAGATGGGAGCATAAATGATAAGGTGTTCTATTTTAACCGACTCGTGTGTAAGCCGGGGGTTTTCAGCACATTTGTATGCAGTTTTTGTGGTAAAATTAGGTGCCTCGGCTGATAGGCGGGTTGGCTTATACGCGAGTGTATACGGCAACTGCTACATCTGCATTAATCCACATTCCCATGTACTCTGTCTGACAGCAAGACTATTCACGTGCCTGGTCAATGGTCACAGGGGAATCCTCTGGAGGCCCAACCCACATGGGGACCCCACGAATGGATCTGGGGCATCCACTTGTCACCCATAGCCTTCTGCAAGGTGCGAGCGCAGCATTTACGCTCTGGTACAGTTCCCTCCTCTGGTCTTGAGTTTTATTATTTATCGCCCTTGGGTCACACAGGCTGGTGTGCTGCTTCTGTGTGGACTCAAGGGACCCTTCACTTACGTGGCTGCCTGTTTGAAGACAACATGGGATGATTTTCCAAAGACCCTCTCCAGGCTCGTCTTCCTGGTCCATCGTAAGCTGACCGCTTCGCTGACTGTGCAGGATCGCCACACACAAGCCTCCTGGGTCGGGGAGACGGTGACACTGCATGGGGAGGATCGGCTGGGAACCGAAGCCGAATTTCCCGTATGACAGGTGAGCAGTCTGTCACTGAGCCGCCACGATAATATTCTCTGTAACATCCCCACGCTCCTGGGATTCCGGCACCCATCTCTCTCCTTGCAAGGAAGATGACCCAATGTTAAGAGAGGGAATGGATGGAACCTTCCAGAAGAATCTAATCTTGGTTACGGTTTTGTCTTAGTGCTTTAGGGTTGCTGAAACAACAATGCCACAAGAGGGTGGCTTTCACAACATATTTTCTCCCCGTTGATGAGGCAGGAGGGTCCTTGGCTGCTTGGAGATCTCTTGTGACCTGATCCTCCCCCCCTTCCTTGTTTCACATGGTCTTTCCTCTCTCGAAGGAGAGGGACTTAAGACACTCCCAGACTAATCCTGAGGAGTCCTCCTAGCACCATGGGGTAAGTGCCAGACAGGAGACGGAGGCCAGCAGTTCAACGGATGAGGATAAGGCCGTCTGCTTCCTTAAAGATCTACAGCCTCTGAAACCCGAAGGGACAGTGCTCCTCCGTACAACAGGGTCACTACGAAGAACGGAACTGACCGCAGCGGTGGCCCACCCTCCCTTCATAACACAAACTCAAACTCGGGGCCACTGAGTTGATTCCGAGTCACTGACCCTACAGGACAGGGTAGAACTGCCCCTGTGGGTTTCCAGGACTGTAACTCTACGGTGACCCAGCAGAATGCTCAAACTATAGAGGGCGTTCAGCGGTATCGCATGCGAGTAAAACGGTTGCTGAAGATCATCCAACTACGGCGGCAGCAGGGCATTGGACAGGGAGCTGCCAGAGGTTCAGGCTGGATTCAGAAGAGGACGTGGAACAGGGGACGTCCTGGCTGACGTCAGATGGATCTTGGCTGAAAGCAGAAACCACCAGAAAGCTGCGCTTTGTGTTTCATTGACTGCGCCAAGGCATTCGACTCCGTGGGTCATAGCATCTTCTAACCTGAAACCTGAAGATATTAGAGGGGGTATCTCGCTACCGCTACCAACCATGCTGACAAAGGACACCAAAGAGCCCCAGAGAGACGGGGAGAAAAACGTAGAACAAAACTCCAATTCCTAAAAGAGGCCAGGCCCACGTGGTTGGTTGAAGCACCACAGATGGCTAAAAGGGAAAACCGATCTGTGTTGGAAGAAGTACAGCCAGCGTGCTCCTCAGAGGCAAGGGTGGTGAGACTGCGTCTTACAAACCGTGGACGTGTTGTCAGGAGAGACCGGTCCCTGGAGACGGTCATCAAAAGGAGGAAGACCCCCAAGGAGATGGGCACGGTGGCCCCTGCAGGGTTTCCAGTCGACTCCGTGGCATCACACAGTAACCCTTAACCGGAGTGCAAAGCCTCGTCTTTCTCCCCTGGAGACTGGCGAGTTTGAACTGCTGACCCTGCAATTAGCAGCGCAGTCTGTAACCACTATGCCACCAGGGTGCCTATCGCCCTACTGGAACAGGACAGAGAAAACCTGCTCTCCAAGGGCTGATAACCATGAGAGGGTTAGGCCTTACAACACGCGTGAGATGGCTTCACACACAAGTTGGGGGGGGAGATTCCATGATCTTTTCGTTCCCTTTTCCCATAGGCTTTGGGAAGGAAACCCCTTCCTGGCATTTTGGACGCAATTCAGTCCATCTTCTTACTGACTGTCTCTCCTAAAGTCTTGTCCTCCACCCTCTCTCCCCTCGGGCAGTTCCTAGAGCAGGCAACTCCATCCTGGGGCACCTCAGGTGTGCTAGTCCAGGTAGACTAGAGAAACAAATCCAGGGAGACGCATATGTGAATAAGGAGGAGATTTATATACAAGAGGAATTGCATAGTAAGAAAACATCCCAGCCCAGGCCAGATCAAGTCCATAAGTGCTACATTAGCCCATATGTCCAATAGAAATCTATAAAGTCCTCTTCAGACTCACGAAACACATGCAATGATGCCGAATGCAGGAAGATCACAGGCCAGTGGGTTTGAAATCTTGTGGATCCAGTGGCATTATAAGCATCTCAGCACTGGCAGGGGTCTCCACGTGGCTTCTCCAGCCCCAGAGGTGTGGTTGTGTCACGGTAGTTCCATGTGGCTTCTCCAGCTCCCAGGGCATAGCACCACGTGTCCTGTCAGTAGAACATCTCTCAGGGAGTGAGAAGACAGAGCAGTGTCTTCTGCCTCCAAGGAGGAAAATACAGGACTTCCCAGAATCCTCAGGAGAAGGCGGTGTCCACACACAGGCCTCATTGGCGATGACCCGATCGACAGACTAGACTCCACCCCTTCCCTCTGAATCTTCTCACGTCCCAAATTGACATCAGATGATGTCACAACCACAGAGGGAACACTTGGAGATCCAAGTGACTGTCACCCGCCTGCCTGTTGGGTCTGTCCACCGGTGGTGGCTTGCCTGTTGCTGGGCTGCTGGAATTTATGTCACCAGTCTTTCAAACACCAGCACAGGGTCAACCCATTTCGGTGGTGCTTCCAGACCAAGAGAGATGAGGAGGTAAGGCCTGGGTATCTGCCATGACTGAGTATCAGTCCATGGAAACCCCATGGAGAGACTCCAAATGCCGTCCAATAGAGCGCTGGTAAACTCGTACCCTTGCCTTCCAGCCTTAGGAAACCCCCCAGGGCCAGTCGACTCCAGTCCTGTCTAGTGGCTGTGAGTCAGGATCGACATGACGGCCATGGGTCGGGGAACCACCCTTCCCAGGCCAGCAAGAAGAGAGAACCACTCCACAACTGTCCACCTAAATATCGAGTAGCCCACACCCTTGGTGAGTGATCATCCGGGCTATGCCTGTGATACCGCTTGATTCACGGCAGACCCCATCATGGGGCTGATTACATTACGTGACAGCGTAACGCGGGGCAGGGGTGGTGGTAGAGGCCAAGTTGACACAAAACCTAACTATCACACTGACCCATCATGGCGAAGATGGCCCAGGGTCAGGCAACACTGCCTCTGTTGTGCATGGGGTCACCGTGGGTCAGGGCAGGCTCAAGAGCAAATGACAATACAGGGCATCTAGTGGGGAGAGGCTGCTCATTCTCCCACAATACGTGCAAAAGTCCCCCAGGATAGAATTCCTCTATACCTCGGGGCCAGGACAATTGCTGGCGAGCCCCAGGTCTGAACTTCTGTCCCTGCCTTGAGTCAGGACCAGCACCTCCTCTGCTCCAGAACTCCCCTACCCCTCGGGGCCAAAGCCAAGTCCCCCAACAAAAGGCCCGTACACCAGCTCCCATACAATTCATGAGCATCAATAAGACTTTTTCTCTAAAACGTTTGGAGACTCCACCTCCTTCTCCCCATTCGGGCTCCATCATGGCCTGCTATTCCCACCATCACCTGCCTGGACCAATACCCCCCACCCACGGCCATAGTCTTTCTGAGCCCCACCCTGTTGCCCACTCTCTGTCCTCCCTACAGAGGTCTGCAGATTAGGCATAGAAAAATCCAGACAGAAATAATCATCAAATCACTTTTTTTTAGTATACGTATGTCCCGTGCCCTGTTAAGAGTACCCTACAAAACTAGCATCCTAGCTAGCATCCTATTGCTAACAAGACAGCTACTTCTCAGCACGCCAGCCCTTGATGCTGCCTCACTGGGGGGGCCCTGTTGGCTGGGGAGACCATCATAGGTCTCTCATACTGAGCTCCTCATACTGAGCCCCTCCTTTGTGATGCTGCCATGTCTCTCTCTCTCTCTCTGTCAGA